TTTCGAAAGGTTTATTGCTTAACGCAGGGGTTGATCATTCGGGACACAATACTTCAATGTATTTATTTTATTACAAAGCTTGATCAATATGAAGATGACAATTTTGGTAAGCTACAAAAATATAAGTAACCCCCAATACGAATAGCTGACACCTTCGCAACTTCAGTAGATTATCTGCTCTACCATGTTTATCGTGAGCAGAGTTTTCGACTTGATAACTGTTTCATGGGGACATAAAATAAACAACTAACCTTCAAATCAAAAAAGGAAGCCATTTTGATTTCTCCTAGCGCTACTTCTTTCGGTTGTATGAAGATACTCTTATTTATCTCGAACCTTCTGGAACATATTAGCTGGTTCACTACATCGCATGGTCAATGAACTATGAACTTGTAATAAAAAAAAAACATAAAAACACACACCTCGTACCATTACGATCGCAATTTGTGCATAAGACGTTGTCAATGACCTGAAAACAGATTAGGAATTGATAACTTTAACGCTACTTTGATGGGTTGTCTTTGTGCACAGGAACAAAGCAGCGCTTTTCGGCTTGGGAGGGGCACGTTGCACTTTGGTTCGTACCCTTTGCTGGATCGTGCTAGATTGTGGTGAGACCTGTAAACCCTGGGAAGCTGAGCGAAAAAAGAGAAAAGAGCCATTCTGGTTACAAGAATTACGTCTCTACAAGGTGGTTCGAACTATTTCTGTCAAATACCATTCAGTACCAGACGCAAGGCGAACTACGCTGAACAAAACCAATGAACTGTTAGGAAAGAAGGAGCATTACCTTGATCTGACCAAGGCTCTGCTTTTCAACAAGCGTTGCTACAAGGTCGGGATAGCCATCGAGAGTGAAGTCTCCAACTCGAAATAGCATCAACGAGTCCTCATCCGACAAGATGTTAAAGTTCTGATAAAAGTACGCATTATTTTAATAGCATACGCATTCTCCGAAGTTCGCTCAGTTGAAATCAATTGGTTTTTTTTTCAAAAAAATGTCGATTCATTAGGGACATTTTCTAGCAAACTCGAACCTTATTTTGTTTCATGACAGAGGAAAATTAAATATGAAAAAGCGCGGATGGGGTCGTGCAAAATGAAAGCGAGTTCATCTATGGCACTTCGGGATAGCAAATAAATCTAAGCACTAAACAACTTCAGAACGGGCTAGCTGTGGCTCACATATCAATCTATTTTACTGCTAAAAATAAAAACCACTTCGGGAGAGCTCTTGAATTTTAATAACAAATACAAATGGAGCAGTAACACGTACCTGCAAATCGAAAGCATTCGTGCTCCACCCACGGTTGTATTGCCAATTAGCAAACTCCGTCACCTGAAGAACAAAATCAACTCTGACCTCACGAGAAAAAAAAAGCAAGAAACGAAGTAACCTGCTTGCAATCTTCTTTCCGACAAATTGGCACAAGCAACTCAATCAAACCGTCCGCATCAAAATCGGCAGCCAGTGGAGCTCCAACAAACTGGAAGAGTCACAATAAAACATAGGTTAGCATGATTCGGCAGAAAGTAAAGAAAGGTCGCAAATCTGTAAGAATGGGACCCTGATTCCTGAAAGTTCAAGGCAGTGGGCACGATAAATTGATTTTCTGAAGAAAACGGAAGTAGGAGGGCTGAGTTAGTTTGTGAGAGTGAGTTTTGAGGTAAGAAGACGCAAAAATGGGACAAGGCGGCCGAAAACCTGTGGTAAGAGGTTCTCATTCGAAACCAAACCAAACATTGAATATTGCAAAAACAGTCGAATGAATCATAAAACAGTCTAGAACTAAGAGAGAGCATTAGCTGAAAACCCTTCCAACAAAGAAAAGGATAAAGTCTTCGTCGTGATTAATCCTTTTTGGGGTGCGGCACGCACTTCTACTTCCATTCAGAATTGTAGTAACTTAGTGAGATTTGGCCAGCACAATGACTGGCGCGGAACAGGTCACAACTCAATGTACTGGCTACGCAGTCTAAGAAATGTTTCGCTACCAAATAGAAGCCATCTTCTCATAAGAAACCCGGGCGAAGGGAAGAGAGGCCTGCTACAAGCGATTGCAGCCAAAAACAGCTGTTACTGCCCAGATCAATTCCTAGTGGGCAAGGCCTTCTGTAGGGACGGTTGTTGAGAGAGGGGATGGCTCGAAAGCAAGTTTTACTAGGTCAAATTGAGTCCATTTGTCGCCACAACGCAAGAAACAGCACCTGGTTCCTGGTTCGGTATCACTTTTCACGAGATCTCCATTCAGAGCGGCAGCTTTAACGCCCGAGATATTTGGTCAGAATGGGCGGAGATCTCATGCCCTGATGCTGCCATACTCGTTTATCGAACCTGCCTTCGGAACCAGGTTCAGTGAACAGCATCAAGGCTTGAAACCACCCTCCATTTTGACAGATCATGTCGGCGTTGAAGCTGCTCCAATGCTCTGAGCAGTGGGCTAACCCTGTACGCCTAACTGCGAACTTCCTTCGCAAATAGAAAATTCT